AAAGGCACAACAATTTTTCTGACAATTTCAGGAGATTCTTTAGACTTCCTGCATACATCCTTAAACTCCTAAGAGGTTAAGATCCCCTTGATTTACAGGGAGCCCATCAAGAAAAGAAAGGAAAAAAAAAAAACCCCAAACATATAGGGTTACTTCATATATATCTAAACACTGAATCCAAAGACTGGAAGTTCTCCCTTTTTTCCAGTCTGCTGCTAACTCTGTGACCCCAAGCAAGCTCCATTTCCCAGGCAAGTCCCAATTCTTCATTGGTACCACGTTACTGTCCTACTCACTATGATGTGTGGTTATGAGGGAAAAATGAGAAAGCAGTGTAACTAACACTGGAAAGAGTATAGTAACTGATCAAGTAAGAGGTGGTTGTTTTTTGTTGGAGGCAGTAGAGCAGATCAGGTTCAAAGTGCAGGTACTGGTGTCAGATCACTTGGGTCTAAATACCAGCTGTACCACTTACCTAAAGAACCTAAAGCAAGTACATACTTTAACTTCTCTAAACTTCAGTTTCCTCAAATATAAAGAACAATAACATTACCTACCTCCTTGGGCCTTAGACAGAACAAAAGGAGATAACGTATATACAGCACTTAGAAAAATGCCTAGCATGTATGAGCACTCAGTAAATATTAGTAATATTATGATTTTAATTAAAGAAGGCAAGACCTGGACCTCTTCCTGTTTACTTTCGGCAGACACACAGAACAGCCCCAGCCATGGCTCTAGGTCCTACCTGGCAGGAGGGAAACGGCTGACATCCCCTTTGGTAAAAGTGAAGCATCGAAGGTTTGGACTACAGTCCGAGGAAGCTGGGAATGAAGCTGTAGTTTGGCCATTCTCAGGCTCCAGTTCCCCATGAGAAGGGGCTTTATTCACAAAGTCCCTGGCATTCAGTTGCTCCAGCTCAGCACTCACGTGATCCCAGGAAGCAAAGTTATTGACCAGTGCACCATACTTCTGCTCTGAGAGGAGACTGACCCGGATTGATGGCCAAAGATCCCCAAACTGTACACCATAGGTCATGTCAAAATTCTGCAGAGCCAGTCGAGTGGCAGGAAATTTGGGTTCTGTGGCAGCCTGAAAGGGAAAGAACAGGCTTATTGGTCCTCTAGTCTTGTCTCTATCCCCTACTGCCTGACTCTACCAATACCAGTTAGTGTCCATTCCCACCTTTGTACCCTGCTCCTGCCTGCCAGAGAAGTGTGGGAGAGAAAAGTGGTAAGAACTGGTCTATCTCAGGGCTGTGAGAGAAAGGAAGCTGTAGCTCTCATGGTAGCATGTGGGGGTCGCCAAGAAAGGGGACCCTCCTTGAGGCCAAGGGGTAAGAGGAACTTAGAATGGGAGCTCAGGAGAGGACTTGAGGAAAATCTACAGAAGATTGGGAGAAACTGTGGAGGCCTTGTGGGAAACTTCAGACTTAAAAACAAAAAACTCTTTCTCCTGAACAGACCTTCCATTTTCTAAAGTACTTTCATGTCTCCTAGCTTATGTGAGCACCACAATGTAGTTCAGTAGGATACAAAAAACATCAACCTTCCACATTTGATGGAGATGAGGGTAACTTACGTAAGGTGATGGAGTGGCTGACACCGTAATGCAATCACAGGGTTGAGGGTCATTTGGGGAAAGTTCCCAGACCTCAGGAAAGTGGGAAAAGGAGAACTCACAGAAATCTTGAGGTATGAACCAAAATGGGATCTTCTAGGATGACTGCTATGGGGGTAGCAGAGAGGGACATCAGTCAGGCTTTGGAGAGCATAAAAGTAGATTAAAAGGAAAATGAAGACCTCGGTTGAAGAGTCCGTAAGTTAGTCCTGGTTGCCACAGCTGGGAAGCTTACTATGGCTGGCAGTCCTGTTCCTGTCCGTGAATTTTGCTCTGGCCTGGATTTCTGGTTTGTTCAGAACTCTTGTTCCATCTCTCATTTCTCATTCTGGTGGGGGCTCTTACGCCAACCACGATTTTTGCTATGGTGGGGACTCTTGCTCCGGCTCCTGTGGTGGGGACTCTTGTTCTCCCTTTTGCCATGGCGGGGACTCTTGCTTTGGCTCTGACTTTTGCTATGGAGGACACTCTTGACCAGCCCCTGACTTTTGCTATGTTGGGGACTCTCACTCTGTCCCTGATATTTGCCAAAATGAAGACTCTCACTTTGATCCTGATTTATGTCTTGGTGGGGACTACTGCTCCGGCTCTGAATAATGCCAAGATGAACACTCTTGCTTTTACTTGGACTTCTGCTAGAATGGGGACTCTCATTCTGGTTCCAACTTCTACTTTGGTGGGTATTCATGCTCTGGTTGTCACTACTCTGGTATTCACTAACAACAACTGAACTACAGCTGAGATTAGTGCTAGAGTTGGAACTCGTGGATGAAGGCACTGGACAGCTGTAGGGGATCTGGGGGGACACTTTGCGGGGGCTTTGAGAAGCCACAGAGTAGACATGGAGGCCACAGGGCATAGTATGAGGGTGACCCCAGGGTCGAGGGGCAATGGGTAAAATTTGAGGGTCAAAAGGTGTTCTCAAAGGGATAAAAGAATAGATGTGGGTAGAACATGGAGGTGCCACAGGCTGGCGATGAGGTTGGGGTGGGCCCCTGGGAGTGCCATAGGTGCCACAGGGGGGCACCACAGGCTGGTTATGACACTGAGGGGGACCTGTGGAACCAAAGAGTGGGCAGGGATCAGGTGTGGGGGGAACCACAGAATATGTATGGGTATTGCAAGGGGCTCCTGGAGAGGGTCCAAGGGGACGGCTCTGAGCATAAGGCAGGCGGAGAGGAAGGGAAGTGGGGACAACAGTTTTGAGGGTCCTAGTGACTAGGGTAGGTAAGGTAAGTTCTTTGGGGCAGAAATTTGAGCAACTTGTGATAGATGTCACCATACAAGAAGGACCAGAGAGACCAGAAGGGTGGGAAGGAAGTGGAGGAGAGATGCTGACCTTAGGGGCTCTTGGTTGGTCACGAGATGTGTTCTGGGCAGGGGTGACCAGAGAGCGACATCTGTGGGGAGCACATGGCCGTTTTAACTCTGGGGGTTTGGGGGACTTCTCTTGAGGGCAAACTGGGGTAGGGAGAGGGGGTTCATTATAGCTTCTACAGGGGGATGACTGGAGTGGAGATATAAACTGGTTGCCCAAGGGTGAAGGGAAGAAGGCAGAATAAGGACAGTGAGAGGACTGGGGAAGAGGTAGTTCCTCGGAACAGGGAGGACCAGAAACAGTGGTGTCAGAAAAAAGGTAAGAGCTTCCACCAGTCTTCCAGGGGAAAATGGACTCAAAACAAGGCTTCCTGGGAGCCTGGGACTGGGGTGAGCAAGAAGTACCAGTACTACCAGAGGGCTGGTAGATGACGCAATAAGGGCTCTCAAGGGCAGATATGTGGTTTTCTGGAGAAAGATGGGAATAGTGATATGAGCCCTCCTGAGGTGATTTGGGACAGCCAGACACACCTGCCTGAGAAGAAAGTTGGGAGTCACAATTTTTCCCAAGGAGAGGGTCAAGCTGTGGTTTAGGTTCACAAGAGTCTGCAGACTTAAGATGGCCTTGGTAAAACCTGCCAGTGGGTGGGGAAGATGCTGAGGAAACAGGAGGATCATTATAACTTTTCCCTGAAGACCAAGAAGGATACAGAGACGAGATCTGTTTGATCTCCAAAACCCTGTGAGAAAGGGATGGGGAAGTTACAGGTCTGGTTTCCATGGGCCGGCGAGCAAGAGGAGGTGAAATCACGGGGCCAGTTTCCAAACGCACATGAGTGAGGGGAGAAGAGGTCACTGGGCTGGTTCGTGGGGGCCGACGAGTGAGGGGAGGGGAAGTCACAGGGCTTGTTACCACCACTGAAGGGTATTCAGCATCGTAACAGAAGTAAGTGCGGTGGTCGGTGTAAGGGCTTCGGGGACAGGGACGTGGTGTTCTCGGGGGACTAATCCAGCTGCAATAAGGGCTCCGAGGACGGAGAGGGGGTGACCCCAAAAGTCTCGACCGGTCAAAACAAGGACTCGGAGGGGGCGAACCCGAGGGGATTGGCTCGCGGTAGGAGAGCCTTCCGAGTGGAGAATAAGGTTCAAAAGAACTTCTCACCAGGCGCAGGGGAGGCTGTGTGGGTGGAGAGGGGGAGGTG